ATTGGTTAATCTCTTGATTTGAAGCTAGTTAGAGATGAAGTCAATAAAACATAATCTGAGTTATATTAGTAATATGTTGTATTTAGATTGGTTATAGCCTAATTAAGTTGTTATGATGCTTGATTGATGATTTGGAGCTTTTGAAAATGAAGAACATAGGTTGAACTTTGATTTTCTTCATTAGTGGCTATTTTGGTGAAATTCTTGAGTATTGATCTTGTAATCAACAATATAAACATGGTTAGATGGTATTTTAATTGTTGGAATAAAGATTGAATCCAAAATATGGATTTTAGCCTATTTAGTTGGTGAATTTGACAGCATCGAATCTATCCGAGATGCTGTTTTGAATGTACGATAACTTCTTAACCGTAGCTCGGATTGCTACGATTCTGGATATTTTAGAAAGCTTATATGTAGATCTAAACCTGTCATTTAGACACTTTTTAGAAATAAGGCTTCTAGGTTGGTTATTATTGCGTCTAAAAACTGATAAAAAATTGATTTTGAGCTGTGAATTATAGTGCCTAAAATGAGTTTAAATTAAGTTTGGTTAWRTTTTTGTTGTCGGATCTTTATGAAACTTTGGGTACATATTAMARRTGTTAAATAAGCTCACTTGGTCCTTCCAGAGTGACCGTCGGACGATGTTTAGACATATATAGACATAGAGCCTAAGTTGGCTCGATTTTTGAGTATCGAAAAGCACTGTGAGTTTATGGGGCTACTTAACTTGCTATTTGCTAGACATGTGTTATCTATTTGTTACTTGCTTCCACACTCATCCATGTTATGTCTCCTTATCAATTTCAAGAGATTATTGATTATTGCACTCCGTCCTTCCATACGTGCTACTCGGTGGTTACTTTGTGTTTCACCCGGGGAGGCACGCTTAAGCCCATATCAGCTGAGATTACTCGGGTATGGTGCGTATTTGACCGTGTTAGAGTCCGGTCATTTTYCCCACTGTCCGGGATAGCTCGGGTGGGAAGATCATTCCACTGGTCGGGATAGCTCGAGTGGTATGAAATCTATGATATATATTGTTGTGTTTGCCACGACCGGGATAGCTCGGTGGCAGTACATATCAATTATTGACTTTCACACGATCTAGTTGCATACTTTGATATTCAGATGTATGATTCTCGAATGATGATTACTTATTATATGATTTACATCATTCGTGATCATTGACTTCCATGGATTACATTTGTGAAGTTTTAGTAATTAGTAGTTCCCGGTTACTCATTAAGCATTTTGTGCTTACCCTTTTAGTTGCTCACATTTTTACAGGCCGTGTAGATAAGGCAAAAAACAAGCTCGGGTAGATTGAGATCTTTGCTTTTGGTGCTTCCAGTAGCACGACTCTTTTGATATTATATAGTTAGTCGAATACAACTATGGATTGTAAATTATTAGTTGTCTTTTGGTTGTAACTGCAAGTATCTAGATAACGTGTAGCTAATGTCCTTCGTCTTGTATATAGTTTAAGCTTCTGCAAATCTATTAAGTTTATTTTGTCCGTTTTAGGATATTTTGAAAATTAGGTGCTTACGGAAACGTCCTGTAAACCAAGCGGAYATTTCGAATTAGAAACTCGTAAATATTATATCCCGTTTGCTTTCTAATGGTTTAAAAATGTAACTTTTGGTGGTTTGTTTATCATTTATAGAAATGAGGTATTCAATCTGGTATCATTTATGTAATCTGGGTCTTTCATGTGATGTTTATATCTATTCATTATCTTTTTTTTACCAATCTTTCTCTGTCTTTTTGGATCCACGTTTTGAATCATATACGATTTATTTACGTATCACATATATGATCCACTATGTGAATTTCTATACGTATCACATATATATGTTTGTATATATTTAAATGACTGTATTATCATATGTAATAACATTTACATCACACAAAAAAAATCTATAAATGTAAATATACATAATCACATATCATCAATAAAAAAATATTTACGATTGTCACATGATTGATACGATCATCGAACAAATTATCATATGTAATAGAAACTTATAATCAAGTTGTTACAGATTTATCTTTAGGTTGACATCGGTTTATTAAGGATTAATAGAAAATCGATTTGGAAAACAAACTCGATCCCATTTATAAGTGATTATCACCACAGTTACAGATAATGCTACCCTTTTTAATTTAATATAATAATGTTTCCATTTATTAAATAAGATATATGGCCTGCATTCTATGTAATTCTATATAATGGCAACAATGTAGAAGTTTTTACATCCCGCACATTACACAGGTACACGTACTAGTATATGTTTATCCGATGAAACACTTCCAAAACAATTATTCAAAGTTCTTTAAAATCATCAAAACTATTGAAGCAAACCATTAAAAAATGTCTTTGGTATACGAGACAGTACAAAACAATACAAAAACTTGTGGTCTGACATTTGGTAGGACATTAGACTACACAAAATGATAAATTACTAAACTAGCATATCATTAAAACTTCAAAACTTGGCAATTTTTTCATCGCTCTCGTCCATTCAGTCCGCATACGAAGTACACCCTAAAAGAACGCTTAAAAAGCCAAACCATTATGCCTACGATCAAAATTTGGAGGCTAAACCATTAAAACATAGATCTCGTTGCGATATACATCTAATTTCACAGGTAACTCAAAAAGAACAAAGCGAATATGTTATTTAAGTAGCCAATATCTTGTCCTACTCAAAAGTTCGAGTCTTTTTAGATAACTTGTGTACATTTCAACTAATCTTACAGGGCAAACCTGCAGTGGCCATGAGGGGGTCGACCCAATGACCACCGTAGAGCAAATCCAAGATTTTACCATTTGAGCTTACCCTCAAGGGTCAAGAGTTTGAATCTTACTACGCACCTACCATTACTCGGCCTCATTAACTGGTCTCACCAACACGAAATGTGAGCCACTGATTTCCGCCATCACCAACTCTAAGAGAACCACCTCGGTCGGCTGTTTGATTTTCAACACGGGTTCTATGAATCCTGCTCCAGATAACCGAGAAGTAAGATAAAAGAATTCTTTGACTGAACAAAATCAGATTTCTTGAAGACTTGAAAGCTGGCTTACCAGGGGAGAGTTTCTTCCTGCCATATAACTCTTCAGTCAAGGGATTTGATGCCCAATTATTAACAGCTAGAAGGCTCGTGGGTTGGAATCCAACAATTTTCCCTTCGGATGATAACACGATCTAAAATTTGAAGTCATTTGAACAGAATTATGAAAAAAGAGATTTGAAATAAGTTGAGATGGAGTGATACAGGAATTTTATCGTCCCACAAAACTATGGTTTCATTAAAAATGATATACAAGTCGTTTTTTGCAAACCCAAGTGGTTTTTTCCTTCTTTTTTCATTCTTTTATGCTAATGTTACCAAAAAATCAAAAGAGAGCGAAAGAGATTCAATCCTGTAATGCCACATGCAATGACAGTACCAATAGGCTTCAGCTTCAGCCACTTTTTGTTAGAGTAGACATCAAATAAAAGCAAATGCACCTTTAAGACTCCTAAAAGGATTTCCACTATGTCGGCATGATAAGGCGGTAGCACGGGCACTCCCTCTCTCCTTAAATCCACCCCTTGGTTACTCGGGGGCTGTTTGGTTGGTTTTCCATTAAGTCTTGTATGGATAAAGTTGTCTTATGTGGATTAATCTGCCTGAATAGATTAGAAAAGTTTTTGTTTGGGAGGGTTTTTCATAGATGGTAGGAGCATGTTTTTTTTATTTGGGAGAGGGAGGCTTGGAACAAATTTGGCTTTCTCATAAAGCTCCCTTAGAAACTTACTGAATAAGCCATTTTCTATATCATTAAGCCACTACCGAAGAATCATGTATAGTTGACCCAATAAGTTGCGAGTCCCATTAAGCTGCTATCAAACAGGCCCTTAGACAGGTTAAGGCGACTGAGAGTTAATTTGGTCCTAGATAGTAGTGTGTGGAAAGACCTTGTTCTAATGCCGAACCATTAGTGGTCCATCTTTTTAAAAAAATTATCGGATTTTTTATAATTTTGATTTGGTTACGATTTAGCCTACCGTCGTAGTTGCGTAAAAGTAATGGTTGAACGAGACGCGAACAATTGAAAATAAGGGGTATATAATCGTAGCAAGGAAAAAGAAACAAAACCTGATAACTTGCAATTTTATGCCCGGATGCTAATATCTCTTCGTCTCTTATATTGGTTGGAGTGGGTGCGATATCGGTATCACTTGAATTGCCTTGTATCATTCTTCTCAGGTAGTCAGGGAGTTCGCCTGTAGATACACCACCTCCACTTTCTTTTCTTATTTCTCCGCTCCACCCATAAACATCCTGAAGTTTTTTGACGATTGATACACAAACGTCTTCCAACTATCAACATGAAATAGAGCATTAGATATGCTAAACCTTACTTCAAGTTGTCAACGATATTACCGAACCAAACCAAATGAACCAGGTATATCAATTGTTACTCGATGTTAATCAAAACCATAATCCTTACCCGAGTGACTAAATTTTGAAAAGAAGTGATTTTTATAAAATAATAATGCACAAGAGAGGAGAAAAGATAGATACATACCATAGTAGATTCAATGGACCAAAGTCGGATTGATCCAGTATATGATGATTGAGACCATTGATTCCCTCGGGGATGCTTTTGCCCATTACGGAAATGGGGCATATAAATTTGACCCATTGCACCAACAGTAACAAGGAAGCATCCACTTACGATGACGGTAGATAGCATTTTCAGCAAAGAATTACTTGTCTGCAACAAATATGTGACCAACAATACAGATGAAAATATACATCAAATTAGAAATAAAAACAAAAGTAAAAATACCTTTAAAAAGCTAACAGGAACTTTAGTACCTTCTTGATTTGCATGTTGGTATTCGCAGCTGCACTGTACGGCAATTTCTTATCCGGGAGCGTGAATAAATCCTCGTAATACATATCTAAAATGTTAGCCAAGCACACCTGAAAACATAATTACGACAACTATCGTCACTTAAAAAACCCATCAACAAGGTTCATTTAAATCTCGCATGAAATAGTTGCACTGTGTGAAACAAACAAGTCGAGTATGTCCCATCCAAAGGTGGAGTATGGGGGTGGGATGTACGCAAAAATTTGATTGATTTCCAACGGAATTTTATTCAGTGATTGCGGATAGTTTATGCCATCATATAAATACATGCGCGTAAATAAAGGAAGAATTGGAATACCATTTGGGAGTGGGTAAGAAGGACTTCCCACCTATTTTTAGCAGATTCTTTCCAGCCTTCAAACTTCAAATCCCGTAGTTTGTCACTGTCGATTTGCAGTCTGTAGGCAGGAACATACTCGCTTGCCCATGCACTAAATTCAGGACCACCAATTTTTTCTAATTTAGAGAACACCGGCCACGGCCACCAGTTAAACTTCGATGCCTTTTCTTTAGGCTTATAACTTGACTTCATTGAATTAAACCTTTCAAGCAGACTTTTAGCACCTTGAACCACCTCATCTTCGAGTACTTTGTATAAGATGACAGAAGAATCCTTTGAAAAGAATTTTTCGGGTTTTTGAAACAGACGAAAAATATCAAACGATGATCTGCCTAATGAATTATCAAGAAAATCTTTTTTGGTGTTTTCAAGGGCAGAAATGGAAATCACTTCTGCTATCATAGATATAGCTTGTTCATCCGAGGAACTGAAGGTGAAAGAAGCAGGGACCTGCCACAAGAAAAGAAATAAGACAACACCACCTGTCTGTATGGCATAGTAGCCACATAAAGACGTATCAGCATATACTATTATACTCCCTCTGTCCCAAAATATATGTCCATGATGAAAAAGGCTCATAGTTTTAGAAGCGTGTAATTCTTACAGTTATTTTAATCAACTAAAAGACAATTTCACCCTTACTAGTGGATGGAGTAATGAATTTCTCCATCCCATAATTAAGGGGAGAATCGAAAAGTAGGCACTTATAAGTGGACATCTATTACGGGACAAACTAAAATAGAAATGTGGACACTTATTATGGGACGGAGGGAGTAACAGGGAAAAGCAATGTCATTGCCTATGAAAAGTACTACCACCGTCTTCAATAGAGCACTGATCGAGACAAGTTGGCTCGTCAAAAAGCTCTGCAGGGCTAACTCGAGCTGCCTCATCTCTTTTGCGGTTTCCCAAGCATGAGCTTCTTATGGCTTGGACTCGGTAGGTCAGAGAGCCTAAATGAGCCAAGCCCACCACACATATACGACCTATAGTGTAATCATATACACACACACAAACCAGTAGTCTTAGCCTCTTGGAGACTTATATTTGTAATCTTTTAGGAAATAGGTTATTTGTAATTTAGTTGAAGGGTTTATTCTTTAATTTTAGACTATATCAACCCTCAAGGGCAAAGCTGATATGAGCCTATACATACAAGCCCACTGGAATTGAGCCTACATGAACTGCTCAAGCTTATACGAGCCCATAGGAGCCAACCTTAAATAAGCCAAGTAAAGCGCCTTAGACAAGCCCATGGTTGATAGGCTTAGCACACCACTAGCTGAGCTCAAGCCTGTGTATTATTTTCATGAGGGAAGCCACATACTAAGCAAGTTGTGGCTAGGCTCAACTCAAATGCTCCCCTCGTTCCTAAAAAAGAAATATGTATATTTGAGAATGTAACTTTTAAAGCTACACTTGACACAGAACTCTTTACAGACCCGGTTTTTTAATTTGTAATATTATTATCAATAGTTCTTGCAAATTTGAGTGGTCCACACATCAAGTTGGATAGTAACCTCTTTGACCACAATAATTAAAACCTACATCTACTTTTCTTGGGATATAGAGAGTAACAGAAAAGACGAGCTTGTCTAACCTCTCTTATGTTTCCAAGATCTTTCATATTTCTTGCTGTTCCAGGTCTAAAGAAGAGAAGTTCAAAACTCCAAATCTGTCTCAAAGTCACTTGTCGGAATGTCATAGCAAGTATATTTGTAGATGTGGTGCTCGAAAGAATGTCTTCAGTTAAATAGCTTTTAAGATCTTTAGCTCTCTCTTTGACTTTTCTTGCTGGCAAAAACTGTCAAAAGAACAGGTCACAGCAAAACTAGTTTAGAATCCATTCTACAAAAGTTATTATATATATATATATACATACATACATATATATATATATATATATATAAACTACTTAATGACAAAGAGATGGAGGTGAATGATGTCAGATATATGCATGTATACATGTGTATATGTGTGTCTATCAACAAGCACATCATAAACCCTCCATCCCCTTAAAACTGCAGCACTTTCCTTTTAGTCATGCCTCCATTGAAACTGCAACATTTTCAAATATTCATAACTTCATTATATCACTAAACCATGCCATTATCAGTATATACTATATATAATAAGCTCATTCTACAGAAGGAGCCCTTGACAAAGTCGAATAGATTGATCCCAAGATTGCTCAATTTAACATAAAAATGCTTCCCTTTACCCATTGTCCACAAAGCATTCTATCTCAATTATGGGTACCAAAGACAAGTTATGATATACCACTGTAAAGATGAAAAACGTTATAGTAATAGTCATGTAAATGTAAAACCCATATTCTGGTGACCCTGGTTTTCTGATTTTAGCAATCTGATTACTTTGTTATAGTTTTAAATCATTATGATTTAGTTTCCTTAACCATGATCCATCCAAAATAAAATTGCTAACGAGATACACATATGACCTTATTTTTTGTTAATTCCAAATGCCAATGTAGCAAGAAAATGGCATATTTACCTCACTAGTTTCTTTGCCAACCGAATTTTCTACCTTAAAACAAGCTACAAATTTATGATCTTCATACTACATGTACACTTTTAAGTCCTGTCAAAATTCAAGAAATGAATGTTGGTTGATTTTATGCTGATAGAAATTATTGGGGTCTTTTATAGAATGATAATATTTCCAGAATTGAGATTACCCAGTGTTTCTGAGACAAAAGCAAATATACAGAGTGTAATTTGGTTTCAAGTAATTCAAACCAATTCTTCAAAGATTTACGTATGAAATTCATCAATGAATAGTGAATAGTAGATTAGCTTATTGACAGTAACTAACCAGTCTGGTGGAGATGGTGCTGTGTTCATCAGAATGGCCAGGGAACACCGTCTCCGCCACCATAACATCCAAACCATGAGCAATGTGTTCATCCGCCGCCTCACCACCGTCGGCGGCAGCTGCTATTAGAGCCTGCTCCAAGTCAACATCTCCAACAACAGTGAGGCGACCCAAGTCATTCTCGTAGGTCCTCACACACGGTAACGACTTGACATCTTCTCCGTCGAGAATATCAAGAATGTATCGTTGGGTCTCCGGCGGCGGAGGTGTGGGAGCAGAGCGAACTCGTACAGTGAGGGAAATTGGAGGAGGTTTAAGGGGTATTGAGGGTAGAAAGATGAAGCTTTTAGCTGAAAGAGTGTTGAATTTTGAAGATAAAACCTGAAGTCGAACAGGAAGAGGATGAATCAAGGAAGCCATCGACGACCAGATTATGAATTCGTGCCAAGAATGTTGAGAACTATAGACGGCGCAAGTTAGCAAGGGTTTTGGGGACAGGGCGACCTCGTTTTATTCGTATTTTGTTTCATCTCATTAATGGATTTTTTTTGTTTGAAATGATTAAGTTTTTAGATTTGTTTTTGGAACAAATAAGTTTTTGGATATTTTAAAACATGTTAAATAAGTCTTTGGATAATTTTTTGGAACAAATAAGTACTTGGACATTTCAAAATATGTTAAATAAGTCATTTGACAATTTTTCGAACAAATAAGTCCTTGTACATTCCAAAAAATGTTAAATAACTCATTGGACAATTTTTGGAACAAATAAGTCCTTG